ACAGCTAAGGGATGAAACACACAGAGACTGCATCGTAAAATGTCTTTTTGTACATGACACCTAAGTCGAATCTTTCTACTCTACTATTCGTAGCTCTCGCAAACCGCAGTGAGTACATTTTCATCAAAAACGAGTGAATTCTGTATGGTCGAGACGAATACAAACCAAAAAAGGCACAAACTTTAAATTTTGACGATTTACTCTCTTACCATAAAAGAGGCTAAAATCTAGGATCAGCTAACGTCATCCTACATCTTGATGCTGTGGTTTCGGCCCCAAGTTTGTGATAATTTTATAATAACAAACAAAATCGCAAGATCGAATTTTGTGATTTTTAATGCGCCGGATCCTAATCCAACAGATCCCTATCCAGATCGATTTTTAATTTCGGTAAAATTAGCGTTCGTCTCATATTGCTACTTCCTCCTCTCGATACTTTTCCACTTTCATATTACAACTTTTTCATCCTTTTCAACTGTTCTAGATTTGATATTTTTTAAAATCTTCCTTTTCCTATCTTCTTCCTGCGTTCCATTCCTTCTCCTTTTTTTCCTCTTTTCGTCTCTGAATATCGGTACCGTCATACTGACGAGGTCTAGTTGCGGTGTTGAGCTAAGACGTATATGACTTAATGGACCGAAACATCTTAACTCTTTCGTACTTATTTTTACCACACCAGCTTTATTCCTACATCCATCAACACATAGTTCGTTCTATTCCTGCCCTATGCTACAATCATGCTGCAATCAGCTTAGCGTTGAAATGGAAATTCTGGTATTTTTTTTTTTTGACTATCACGCCATGTAGCAACTGCATGGAAGAAAAAAATGGTTACGGAAAATGGCAATGGCAAGAAAAATACGAGCAACTAACTTCAAGGTCAGGATCTCCCGATCTAAAACATCGCACTCCAGGCGCAGCTTTTCAACATTCGCAGCCTTTTCATTACTGACGCAACTTGCTTTTTCCACAACTGCCTAGAAGAAAATTACTGACAATACATTGGAAGGCGAGCATTTTGCCTTGAAATACAATTATGCAAAATATGTAATTCTAATTAATAAAACTATATAATTTTTTCCACTTTTTTTGCCTGCAATCGCATTCCTGCGTGTTTACAATTTTCGTTCATTTTTGTCCTTCCTTTATCCCATATCAACGGAAACTTTTTTGTCTTTCATTTATCTTTTTCCTTATCTTCTTTTAGCCCTCTACCTCATTCCCTTTTCTTTTATCATCCCCTTTTATCTCCCTTTTCCCTAAATTCCCAAAATTTCCTCCAAATCATTACATCATCGTACGAGGCGGGCCCTAACTCCCTTTACAAATTATCCTTACCTTTCCTCGGAGCTCAGCTTCCTCGTATGGGCTTCAGCTCCAACAAACCCGCTAGTCACCTTCTTCAGCGACATCCCCCGCCGCCCCAATCTACGATCACCACTGGGAACCGGACCTCTTCGTCTCGAAGCCAAGAATATTCGACCTTTCGGAAGTCCCTGCTAAATCCTCTGCTCAATAGGCCATCCCGTTCGTCAGAGCCCGAGCGTCACGCTGTGCGTTATTACTACCTTTGCTTGTGCCACAAGTAAGAAATAGAGTTTTTTTTTACTCAACTGGCCCTTTGGTCAATGCACCACGCCACACAGCGATCCACCGTACACGTGAATACCCCATTCCAAAAAAATTTTTGCTATTTATAAGCTATTTACAATTTTTACTATTTTAAATTTTTTTTATTTATATTTATAAGCATTTCATGGAAAACAAACTTCTAGTTCAGCAAGCTGTTGTCGCATTCGTTGGACAGCATTGTACAGTTCCAAACGTGAACGTTTCATGTCCAAAAATCCGCCGGTCATTTCGCCACGTCTGCTTATTTGATCACCTACAAAATAGCATTTAGTAAGCCCGGACAAAAAAAAAAAACGAGAATTTCGCCAATACAAGAAAAGATTACGAAAGAAATTGACCTTCGAAAGTGACACAATCGAATCCTTCAATTTTTGCCAAGCGATTTCCTGCTTGCATACTACGCACAACTGCTACATTCCCAAAAATGTGCCGGAAAACCACTTCGTATTTGGGATCAAAATATAGGCCATCAAGTAACAGTCGTGCTGCCTGTACAAATAAACACTTTATTTTACAATGTCATTTCAGCTGACAAAGGAGAGATTGGCCTGTATTAACTTTGGGTAATGCCGCTGAATGTAAAGTCAAATTTACCGACTAAATATGCCATACGAACGCATAGCGGTATCCGCGGGGCCACATAGTTTATCCTTGCCACTGTGTTGCGAAAGGAACAAGATGCTAATGGCAAGGAAACGAAGCTGCCGGTTAAACCCCTTCGTCTTGACCAGTGTCCCTTCGATTCCTTGTGATATGCAAATGTCCCGTCTCCTGACTCGAGTTCCCACCTCCGTGATATTTAACGTGGTGATTAGAAATGAACTAGGGATTGTTTTGTTGAATTAAAAAATTATACAGTGCTACAGCTTGGAGCTGCTATCCATTCGTCAGCATTTGTGGGTTAATTTTGTTTTCAATTGGTGTGTTTTTGTTTTCATCCTGATAAAGCTTTATTAGTTTAAGCGAGTTCTGCCCACAGCTGCACCCCTCCCCGTTCGTCCTCCGATCGCTACAACTGATATTAACCAATCATTCGGTCCAGGTGCAAAAAATCATTTCAAAATTCGTCGCAAAACGTTCAGGCTCACCTTACCCCAATTTTTTTAACTGGCCCCTATTCGTGCTTAAAAAAGGCGTCAGGCAGGTCATAATTCTTATCAAACAGCAAGTATTTGCTTTTTTAACAATTTCATTGGAAATATCAATTCCCTGATTTGCAAAAAAAAAAAAAAAAAAACTCATAGAACAACACTCAAATTAAAACTATCGAAATATCCTTGCTATTCGGAAAAGTTTACAACTTCATGTGTATTCCAGCAATTATTTTAAGGAGTATGGGCTGCACAGAAAAAGTACGGCATAAAACAAGGAAAAAAAAATATTTTCATCAAAACGCTTAAAATGCATGACACAGCCCTGCTCGGCGTGTTAACCCTCAAAAAATCAGCATGTCAACCCCCAAGAAAACCAAACAAACGAAATATAACGCGAGAAGCATTAACACTTATAGCAATTAACACAGGAAAGCCTAACAGAGTTGGAAAACGCTACCTCAGTGCCCAGTTCTCTTCGCGGTTTTGCAACCACACGATTTATTGGGAAAAAATTTATTTCACCCATCAATTTCTGTTGATTTATCTGAAATAATAAAACAAATTATAACCAAAAAAGCTCCAAAAGTTCACGCAATTGAAAAAAATTTGAACATGCTTCTAGCAAGAAACATGCTTCTCAGGGATAACTGACATCATTCGGGACCATATAAAAAGAAAGCCATAATTTTTCATGTGAAAAAAAGGGATTTTTGGAAATTTCGGCGATAGAGTGGGCGCGGTAAAGTGCATAAAACATCATTAGTTCATAAAATATCATTAAATTTCATTCTAATAAAGCAGAAAAACCAAAAAAATCAGCAAAAAACGGGCAGAAGGAAGTATAGGCCTGATGAGATTATGAGAATTCTCTTCCAAAAGCAGAATCGGCCTTTACGCGTCTATAAGAATTCTCTTGCAAAAGCAAAATCATACGATTTCTGGGAGAAACAAGTCCCAGCTGCGCGGGGCAGCATAACAATATATTACGATCTCACGTTAATAATCTTCACTTTGAAAATTTCGAGAATATTTTGAAGCATTTTAAAAGTATCATGAAATATTGTCAAGCAAAAAATTCCATATTTCCTGTCTTTAATGGAAGATCAATCAAAAGTTCTGTAAATTATATCTGAACAAAAAATCGAAATCCCTGGCAAAAAAATTCAGGTAGCATAAGTACTGGAAAATTTGGAATGCTACTAAAATGCTAATGAAAATAATCAAATTGACGGCGTTGAAAGATTGGAGCAAGACGGAGTAAAGACGTATTTTACGACTGCATGTGTAATTTGGTTGCAGTGTAGGCCAACAAAGAAAAAAAAAAGGTCGAATTTTAATATTTAGTGAAACCTAAAAGGCCATTTAGCTATTTCACGTGAGCAAACCGGTATTTAAACTAGGTGACTTCTGTGTTTCATCCCTGAACTGAACTATAAACACAGACGGCTGAAGATGGATCTCCTCTAAGAAGACAGATTTTTCAAAACTATGTAGCTGACAAAACTTATGAGCTAGAAAATATGGAGTTTTTCTTTCTTTGAAAAAATATGGTTTTTTAGAAGAGCCGAAAAAGAATAAAAAAAAACCATGGTCAAAAACTATGCAGTTTCTAAAGACCCTTGCAAAATGCTTTTCGGCTCAATTTCTTTAAAATAAAACCGATTTTTCCC